CACCCCACCCCAGGGCGCTACCCGGGGGGGTGGGCTGTGGGCTGTCAGGGGGCTGCGGGGTGCCCGTCCCGGGGGTCTCCAGCACTGAGGTCACCATCGTCACCGGTGTCACCAGCACCGGGGTCTCCAGCACCAGGGTCTCCATCACCGGGGTCTCCAGCACCAGCGTCACCATCACTGGTGTCACCATCATGGGTTTCTCCATCCCCGGCGTCACCGGTGTCACCATCACCGGGGTCTCCATCACTGGGGTCACCATCACTGGGGTCACCATCGTCACTGGGGTCTCCATCACCGGTGTCACCATCACCGGGGTCTCCATCATGGGTTTCTCCATCCCCGGTGTTACCATCGTCACTGGTGTCACCATCATGGGTGTCTCCATCCCCGGTGTCACCGGCGTCACCATTGTTGCTGGTTTCACCATCACCAGGGTCTCCATCACCGGCGTCACCATCACTGGGGTCACCATCATGGGTTTCTCCATCCCTGGTGTCACCAGCGTCATTGGTGACGCCATCACTGGGGTTTCCACCACCGTGGTCTCCATCACTGGTGTCACCAGCGTCACTGGTGTCACCATCACCGGGGTCCCCATCCCTGGTGGCATTGTCACCAGCGGCATCATCGCTGGTGTTACCATCGTCACCGGCTTCCCCATCACTGGGGTCTCCATCACTGGGGTCTCAATCACTGGTGTCACCATCACCGGCGTCACCATCACTGGCGTCACCATCGTCACTGGTGTCACCATCACCAGGGTCTCCACCACTGGTGTCTCCATCCCTGGTGTCATCATCGTCACTGGTGTCCCCACCCCTGGCGTCCCCGTCACCGGCATCGCCATCACTGGTGTCTCCACCACTGGCGTCTCCAACACTGATGTTGCTGTCACTGGTGTCACCACTGTCACCGGTATGGCCACCACTGGTTTCTCCATCATCACCGGTGTCGCCATCGCTGGTGTCACCATCATCGTCACCGGTGTTGTCATCACCGGTGTCTCCATCACTGGTGTCATCATCACTGGTGTCATCATCACTGGTGTCCCCATCACTGGCGTCTCCATCACCGGCGTCACCATCATCACTGTTGCCTCCATCACTGGTGTCCCCATCACTGGTGTCTCCATCACCAAAGTCTCCATCACCAGTGTCCCCATCGTCACTGTCGTCTCCATCACTGTTGTCCCCATCACTGGTGTCCCCATCATCACTGGTGTCTCCATCATTGGTGTCTCCATCACCGGTGTCCCCATCGTCACCGGCACCTCCACCATGGGCATCTCCATCACTGTCATCTCCATCACTGGTGTCCCCATTGTCACCGGCACCTCCATCACCGGCGTCTCCATCACTGGTGTCCCCATCACTGGTGTCCGCATTGTTACTGGCACCTCCATCATTGGTGTCTCCATCACTGGTGTCCCCATCGTCACCGGCACCTCCACCATGGGCATCTCCATCACTGGTGTCCCCATCACCAGTGTCCCCATCGTCACCGGCGTCTCCATCACTGGTGTCTCCATCACTGTCATCTCCATCACCAGCGTCTCCACCACCGGTGTCTCCATCACCGGTGTCCCCATTTGCACCGGCGTCTCCATCACTGGTGTCTCCATCACTGTCATCTCCATCACCAGCGTCTCCATCACCAGCGTCCCCATCGTCACCGGCGTCTCCATCACTGGTGTCTCCATCACTGTCGTCTCCATCACCAGCGTCTCCATCACCGCTGTCTCCATCACCGGTGTCCCCATCGCTGTCCCCACCATCCCCGGCGTCCCCGTCCCCATCTCCACTGCCACGAGCGTCCCCGGCGTCACCGTCCCAGCGCCGGGTGGCTCCCTG